TCCAAATTCTTAGCACAAATTCTAAAAGCCAGGAGGGCTTGGAATGATGTGTTCCAGGTCCTGAGAGAAAATAACAGTCAACTAAGATTGCTATATCCATCAAAGTTATCCTTAATAAATCAAATGATACATTTCAAGATAAGCAGAAACTAAAAGAATTCATGATTATTAAACTGGCACTGCAGAAAATACTTAAAGAAATGCTTCACATAGAATAAATAAAAAACAAACTGCAGAACTCACAAATAAACAAACAGGAATTAGTAATAACAATTAATGCAATTGGTCTCAACTCTACAATTAAAAAACACAGTCCAAAATCAAGACAGAAGACTGGGTACATTCACGGCAGTCGTGTAATATCCCATGCTGTCTGCATCTCTTCTCCTCCACCTCAGTTTGGATAGCTCAGGAGAATGGCTTTATATATGTAGTCATTGCTGGAGGCAAGCTTCTCCACCAGCTGTCTCAGGTCCAGGGCCTCAGGGTATCTGCCTCTCACCTGCTCCCAAATCTTCAAGATCATCATGATCAGGATGTAAGAAAGATGTGCCTGACCTACCACCTTCTGTGCTGGCCACTTCCCCAATCTCACCAAGGCCCCTATCCAGATGGATTTCTGAAACAAACAATGGAGATTGATGGGTATCACACCAACGTCATATTCGGTCTTACTCAAGGCAGGAGTTGTGTCTGGTAATCCCATGGACTCCTTCCAGTGTCTAGCCCAGTTCCTAAATCATCTAGTACATCCACTTATGGTACACAACAGGACAAGAATGATTCAGAAAGAGCATGGTACAGCACTACTGCATAAACACACATGCTGATGTCTTTGTGTATAATATGACCAACATGGCTATTTTTCATATCATACCATCTTGGATAGAATAATACCAACAACATTTGCTAGCAAATGATATACCACAAATTCTTATTAGAAGAATTGTGATTTGAGAAGTACCATTCAGGTAACCACACAATTGGTACAAAAATTTGCTGACACACACATAATGCCTTTGTTTGAAATCTCTGCTAAAAACCCCAATGATAAGGACCAGGTGGAAGCCATATTTATGACCTTGGCTCACAAATTGAAGAGCCACAAATCATTAATGCTTAGTCAACCCCCCGATAATAGAATTATCCTGAAAACTAAAGCAAAGTCTGAAAGAACATGCTGGTGCTAAATAACAGCTTTATTTTACTGTATAATTTTGGCTAAGTAAATGCTTTTGAAGAATGACAGTGATGTCATAAGATTTAATCTCAAATATGAAGGACCATCCTGACGCCTCACTGTCTATCATTGTAATACATATTACTTTTGTATTGTATATCTACTTATACAGTTTGTTACCATGGCAACACAGGGAAAAGTTGATTTTGAATGAGATTGAAAGTGAAGCAAAGATAGGATGAATCACATCTTTTCATTGGGAGCCCACTGAAAGAGGCCTCAAGTGAGTGCCTGCTGGAATTGTAAATCAGTAACTGTTCACTCCCAAGATCCTGGGATTGAAAGATAAATATGATTTAATATGCACCTACTGATATCTAAGTTATATTTGAAAGCAAATGCAGTGACTTCATAAGGTGTCTTATATATTATTTTGTTACCTTTAAATGGTGAAAAACTAATTGAAAGCATCTGAGGCATTAGAACATGGGATGGGAATTGGTGAAAGGGATTCCTGCTATCACTTGTTCTCCCGTCACCCCATGCAATTTAATGTCCAAGTGCTGGATGAACTCAACTTGCACTTGGATTGTAGCTGGGAGGGCATCATTCTAATTGCTTTGAGTCTATGTGTGTGTCTGTAATAGTATTGTGTTATCAATTTTTAAATGCTTAAAATTCATGGTCACAATGAATAATTACTTCAATTTGAAAAATAAGTAAGATATTGAAAAGTGTCTTTTCTATCCTCAATGGAAAGAATGCTTTAAATTTTTTACCTTAAATACTTCTATTTGAATTTAAAACTTTGCACATAGCTTCTATCTACATAAGTGGAATGTAAGTTCTGAACTCAGCTGCAGTGTGCATGTTCACTAATTCTGGTAGCTTACTGCTCTTGATAATTTTAGATGAAATTAAGCCAAAAGATAATTTCACTTAAAATATTTTCAGAATGTGGGAAACCCAATTAAACATGTAATCTATTCTAGTTTAGGACTTGCTGTATATTTGTTTTTTAATCATTTGGGTGATCTTAACTGATTATTTAGTTACAAAAACAAAATCATTCTAAAGTAAACTGAAAGTAATATTTACAATAAATAATTGTTCAGTTTTAAGTATTAGAGTTTGAATTGGCTTTATTTACATTGAGGAAGATTACTCCATTTTTCTTAATTATGCTAGAATTAATAATTTAAAATCATTTTACTTTTATCTCAATTAACATTGATTTGTAACCATTTTTATAGGAACTGGAGTAGTTGTGATGGGTGTATTCATTTTTTAAAAAATGAATCTGTTTATTGCTTTTCAAAACATTTTCTGAAGTGGAGAAAGAAAATTTATATTTTCCAAGCACTGTTATAATGATTGTTTTTTAATATGGTGCTGAGGATCGAATCCAGGGCCTTACGATGAGCACTGTACCTCTGAGCCACAGCCCCAGCCCTATCATGAGTTTTACATGAAGTAATTTAACTTTCTTTTTGTGAGACATTAATAACAAATGTCCTTTACAGCTCTAAGAAAGGACTTATTTTTTTATCTTAATATTTTTCAAATTTTTTTTAAATATTTGTACCACTTACAACAACTTAGCATTTTAATGTTTAGTATGTTATCAGTTGAGTGGGGACAAAGCTTTTAGGTATATTCTAAAATATTTATAAAACATTTTATTAACTGATGAAATCAGTTTCAAAATGGTAGTTGTCTAACAAGAAAATATTAATTTTTAAAGCATACATCATACATTTTTTAAATCTGTGCATTTATATTAACTCAACTTTAATTAAAATATCATACATGTGTGTGGACTGTGTTGCGCATCGCAGCCTAGTGAATAGAATAATCTGGTGTCTGGGAATTTCCAGGGGACGCTTCCTTTGGTTGACTTCTCAGACATTGTGAGCCTATTCAAGCTCTCTCTGTCAAAGGTCCCACACAGCCCCTCTGAGATGGGGTAACCTGGCCAGATGCCAATCAACATGCTGACTGCAAGACATCAGGAAGCAAAACTCCACCCTTGAAACCTTACCCCTGTCTTTGAGGTACCCCCTTAAATAAACCACAGGAGTCATTTTCTAATTRTCTAGCTCCAGCTCCTGAGTGGGCTGGATCTATCAGGGGCTCCATCTTTCAAACTATCCTTTCTGACTCTTTGTCTTTTGTTCTTCCCTAATTATTCTAGACTTTAATTTCTCAGGAGGTTTATCCCTCTGAGCAGGCAAGAATTCCCTGGTGAGGTGCTGGCCACCCCACAATACAACATCACTAAACATCAGAGAAAAGCAAATCAAAACCACAGTAGGATACAACCTCATACACATTAGGATGACTACTACAAAACACACACATACAAACACAGAGAAAATATCAATTATCAATGAATATGTAGAGAAATTGGAACTCTTGTATACTCTGGTGGGATTATAAAATGGGCAATCACTATTGAAAACAGTAGGGAGCCAGACATGGTGGCACACACCTCTAATCCCAGGAGCTCAGGAGGCTGAGCATGAGGATCACAAGTTCAAAGCCAGCCTTAACAACTTAGCAAGGCCCTAAGCAATTTAGCAAGACCCCGTCTCAAAATAAAAATGGCTGGGGATATGACTCAGTGGTTGAGTGCCCCCCTGGGTTCAATCCCTGGTACCAAAAAAAAAAAAAAATGAGAACAGGATGGAATGTCATCACACTATTAAAAGTAGAACTACTATAATGATTTAGGAATTGCACTCTGGATATATATATCCAAAAACTTGAATGCAGAGTTTGAAAGGATTATTTTCAAACCTGTGTTCATAGAAGCACTATTGACAACAGCCAACAAGTGAAAGCAGCCCAACATCCCCCGATGGATGAATGGATAAGCAAAATGTAGTATAAATACACAATGGAATGCTATTCAGTCTTTGAAAGGAAGAAAATTCTGTCACAGGAATTAATCTTGAGAACTATTACTGTATGAATGTGAGGGCGTACCTCCCACACACACACACACAGAAACACAGTTTCTGTGCTGATGCAGCAATATTCAGAGATAAAATAATTAGATTATGAGAGCTATAACCTAATCAGTCACTTTAGTTTGAAGGGACTAACTGGATGGTAACATTAGGCAGGTGGGGCATGGCTAGAAGAGGTGGGTCACTGGGGATCTGCCTTGGAAAGGTGCATCTTCCCTGTGGCTCCTTCGCCTCTCACTCTTTCTGCTTTCTGGCCACAATAAACAGAGCAGCACTGCTCCGCCACACCTTTTGCCATGATGTTCTGCCTCTCCTCAGAACCAGAATAATGGAGTCAGGCCACCATGGACTGGATCTCCAAAACTGTCAGGCAAAGTAAACTTTTCTGGTCAGTTTTGGTCAGTGAGGAAAATCTGACTAACACAAGGACATTATGCCAGTGAAACGAGTGCGTCATGAAAAGACAAACAGCTATGATTCCTCTTAGATGAGATATCCAAGGAAGTCAAATTCATAGGAACAGGAAGTAGAATGGCGGTTGCCAGGACCTTGGAGGAGTGGGGGAAGGGGAGTTGTTGTGTAATGGTCATAGAGTTTCAAACTACAGAAAAAGTCCTGTATGAATATATTTAACACTAGTGAACTATGTACTTAAAATACTTAAGATAATCTATTTTATGTTGTGTTTTTACCAAAGTGAAAAATAATTAACTTTTATATAGTTCATTTTGATATCCATGGTTTGTTTCTTCAACAACAGTATTTGTTAATCATCCACTTTTGTAACGATTGACTGAAAGGTGAAGGATTTATTTCTTCTAATGGGATTATTTTTCCTTTTCTATTAGGCATATTTGAAATATGTAAAGATCATCATCTTCAGTGGCTGCCAGATTCAAGGTGGAAGCAATGCCAATATGTCAGCAGCCAGCTGGAACCATTTTTACTCCTGTGCGAATCTCTTGTATCAAATATACCGCAATGGAATGCTTTTAAGAACAGCAAGGCCATATATTCTCTAATTAGCACACCATTCTGTCCAGAAAATGATTTATCAGAGGAAAGTAGGAAATCACCAGGAGAAAGTAAGAAAGCATTCAGYGTTTTAAGTGTGTGTGCACATATGTGTGTAGATTTTCAACTTATAAATGGAGTTCCATATCTTATGAAAAAAATTGTAAAGTGAGGCAAAGTAAACTTGTTCTAGGCACATGTTTCATTCAATGTAACCCTCCTAGTAATCCTGTGAAGTGACTTTTTTCACATTTTTATTGGTTCTTTTTAGTTATAAATGATGGTAGAATCCATTTTGGTATAATTATGCAAACATGGAATATATCTTATTTTAATTAGGATCCTAGTCTTATGGATGTAATGTTGAGATTCACTGTGGTATATTTGTACACATACTTAGAAAATTATGTCAGACTCATTCCACTCCTTCTCCCTTCCCTTCATTTACTTTTGTCTAATCCAATGAACTTCTATTCTTTCCCTCTCCCCACTTGTTGGGGGTTAGCATCCATATTTCAGAGAGAACATTCAACCTTTGGTTTTTTTGAGATTGGCTATTTCACGTAGCATGATTGTCTCCTGATCCATTTACCAGCAAATGTTATAGTCATCATTTTTATGGCTGAGTAATATTTCATTGTGTATATATACCACATTTTCTTTATCTGTTCATCTGTTGAAGGGCACCTAGATTGATTCCACAGCTTAGCTATTGTGAATTGAGCTTCTCTGAACATTGATGTGGCTCCATCACTGTAGTATGCTGATTTTAACTCCTTTGGATGTATACTAAGGAGTGGAATAATTGGGTCAAATGGTGGTTCCATTCCTAGTTTTTGAGGAGTCTCCATACTCCTTTCCAGAGTGGTTCCATTAATTTGCAGTCCCACCAATAATGTATGAGTGTACACTTTTCCTCACTTCCTAACCAACATTTATTGTTACTTATTTTCTCGTTTCATTCTGGTTGGAGTGAGGGGAAATTTCAGTGTAGCTTTAATTTGCATTTCTTTAATTGCTAGAGATATTGAACATTTTTTCATACATTTGTTGATGGTTGGATTTCTTCTTTTGAGAAGTGTCTGTTTAGTTCCTTTGCATGTTTAYTGATTGGGTTATTTGGGGGTTTGGAGGTGTTAAGTTTTTTGAGTTCTTTGTATATCCTGGAAACTAACACCTTATCTGAGATTTTTTCCCCTTCAGTAACTCTCTTCATGCTGTTGTTTTCTCTGCTGTGAAGAAGCTTTTTAGTTTGATACTATGCCATTTGTTGGGTTTTTATTTTGCTTCTTGTGCTTTAGGAATCTTGTTGAGGAGGTTAGTTCCTAATCCAACATGTTAGAGAATTGAACCTTCATTTTCTTCTAGTAGGTGCAGGATTTCTGGTCTAATACCTAGGTCTTTGATCCACTTAAAGTTGAGTTTTGTACATGGTGAGAGATAGGGGTTTAATTTCATTCTGTTACATAGGGCTTTCCAGTTTTCCCAGCACCATTTGTTGAAGAGGCTGTCTTTTCTCCAATGTATGTTTATAGTGCCTTTGTCTAGTATGAGATAACTGTATTTATGTGGGTTTGTCTCTGTGTTCTGTTCCATTGATCTTCATGCCTGTTTTGGTGCCAACACCATGCTATTTTTGTTATTATAGGTCTGTAGTATAATTTAACATCTGATTTTGTGATACCTCCTGCTTTGCTTTTCTTACTAAGGATTGCTTTGGCTAATCTAGGCGAAATTTTTCCAAATGAATTTCATGACTGCTTTTTCGCTTGTTCTGTTTCTATGAAGAACATCATTGGATTTTAATAGGAATTGCATTAWATCTGTATAGTACTTTTGGTAGTGTGGCCATTTTGACAATATTGATTCTGGCTATCCAAGAACATAGGAGATCTTTACATCTTCTAAGATCTTCTTCAATTTCTTCCTTTAATGTTCTGTACTTTTTCGTGTAGAGATCTTCCACCTCTTTTGTTATAGTGATTCCCAAGGATGTTGTTGTTGGTTGTTTGTTTGTTTATTTGAGGCTATTGGGAATAGAATAGTTTTTCTAATTTCTCTTTCAGATGATTCATCACTGGTATATAGTATTGCAGTTGATTTTGGAGTGTTAATTTTGTATCCTACTACTTTGCCGAATTCATTTATGAATTCTAGAAATTTTCTGGTGGAGTTTTTTGGGTCTTCTAAATATGTAATCATGTCATTGGCAAGCAGAGATAGTTTGAGCTCTTCTTTTCCTGTCCATATCTCTTTAATTTCTTTCTTTTGCCTAATTGCTTTGGCTAGTGTTTCAAGAACTATGCTGAATAGAAGTAGTTAAAGAGAGCATCCCTGTCTTGTTCCAGTTTTTAGAGGGAACTCTTTCAGGTTTTCTCCATTTAGAATGATTTTGGCCTTGGTTTTGCCATCTATACCTTTTTCAATGTTGAGGTATGTTCCTATTATCTCTAGTTTTTCTAGTGCTTTAAACATAAGTGGATGCTRTATTTTGTCAAATGGGATTATTAAGAAACTGATAAGAAATTAGATWTTGTAGAGATGATAGTTTTAATACACTACACTAGTTTTGAAACTTAAATCTAAATAAGCCTACATATGCACCTCATTTTATAAAACAAATATGTTGTTCTAAAAATTCCCTGGAAGTGGACCTCACTTTCAATTTAAATGACTTACTATTTTTATCATATCTTTTCTGTTTTCTTCTTCCACTTTGAACTCACCTCTTCTGTTTTTCCCTGCCACTTCCATCTGTTTCATCCCCACTTGAGTTACAATCTAATTTGTTTTCTTCCACATTTTTTTTTATTTTGCTTCCAGATTTTTGCTAAAACATATAATTACTTGTGCAATAACATAAGCATTCTTACAAGTTTCCTCTACTCTTATCTCTATAGGAGATAGAATTCCAAAAGTGGAAATGCTGGTCAAAAGTAAATTATTATTATTATTATTATTATTATTATTATTGTTATTATTATTATTATAGCTGGATTGTAACTAAATGGTAGAGTGCCTGCCTCGAATGTGTGAGGCACTGGGTTCAATCCTCAGCACCACATCAAAATCAATAAATGAAACAAAGATATAAAAAAATAAATTATTTTTTATTAATAGTTACTTCCAGGTTGATTATTTAAAAGTCTATGTTCAATTTATATTTTCACCAGCAATATGAATATCTTTTATCCAATTGAGATATTGGTCTTTTTATAAATTGTGCCCATCTGAAAAAATTTAAAATACTTGAGTTATAATTTCCCATTATTAGCAAGCTGAAGTATCTTTTAAGATGTTTACTGGCAATTTGAGTTTGCCTACCCTTGTTTTTCTGTAGAATTTGTAAGAATTCTATTAATGTTATTAATAACTGACTTTTTGTGTCTTTAAATGTTTTTCTATACCTTTTCATTTTCTACTAGACTTGTTTATTGTATATGTACTACACAAATGTTCAAATTTTGTTGATCACATGTTTCATGCTTTTTRATTTCCGATTCTAATTTGAGAATATCCTTCCCTCATTTTCTCTCTGGGTCATTGTTGCTTTATTTTGTTGCTTTTGTCACTAATCTACCTGGTACCTGTAATTTATTATAATTTAAGATCTTTAAACAGTGCTTTTTACTTAAACAGTCTYTATATTAGATTTATTAGAACCTTTTGTAAAGTGAAGATGGTTTTATTTTGCAAWTAACCCCAAATTTATCCATTTGTAACTAAATTGTCACATACCATGGGTGCTTTTTTTAAGATCAATAAAACAATATTAGCCTTATTCAAAAAAGCTATTTTGATAATAAAAGTTGTATTTAAAATTAGACTTTGGGAAAATACCATAGAAATAAAAGCTAGGTGAAACTTATAACTGTATTTGGGATAGTTGGAAACAAAGACCAGAAGGCTCTCAATTTGCTACAGACTGTGATGCAGCAGGACTCCGTGATGGTGAGAAGAAGGGTCCAAAAGAGATATGATATTTTTTTGAAAATTTTGATAATCTTTGTTGCATTTCCATTGGATTCTCATTTCCTGTGTAATTGGTTAGTTTATATATATTGAAAGAACTCACATTTGCAGGAACAGATTATAAAGTGTTGGCTATGCCAGGCTTGGTGGCTCCTTCCCTTAATCCCAGAAACTCAGGAGTCTGAGGCAGGTAGACCACAAGCTCAAGGCCCACCTGGGCAACTTAGCGAGACCCTGTCTTATAATAAAAAATTAAAATGAAAATCAGCAGTAGACTACCCCTTGGTTCAGTCCCCAATACTGAAGAGAGGGAACTCTAGATATACCCTTTGCTTTCTCCATTTTTCCCTCAGCTGCCCAACATTTTATTATAGCAGCCATTTCAGCTGGACTAAATTGGAATTTAAATCTACCTTAATGTCTACTGCTTTTGAGGTACAAAGGATAGTTAGTAATGCACCAAATTCTATAGAAATAAAGCTCACTTTAAGACAATCATGTCCTTTTTTAACTTCATAATTTTATAATAAAATTTTGTATTGTGACATCTCTTATTGATACAAAGTATTTGATTATTAATCTCAGTTTCTTTTTCTCAATGACATCTAGGTGAACTTTTGAGTGAAAATGAAGAAATGTGTAATCCTACAACTTTTCCCTGGGAGAAACTCACTCCATTTCAAAGACTTATTTTGGTAAGATGTGTTATGAGAAAATATTAATATTCCAGATGTTTTGAGCGCTTTTAGTAACTTAAACCCTATAAAATTAATATTTTATAAGCAAAAATATTGATTTCTGAGAGCTAACATTTGATGAATGTTAACATTAGAGGGAAGCACCTACATTCCACTCACCCAGAATGTCCCTTTCATGTGGTGGGAGTCCAGTTAGAAACACTCCTGCATCTCTGCCCATTTATTTGCTCTTTCCTAGAGAAGGGGGGAGGGAGACTTATAAGACAGATAAATTTGAGACATTAATTGAGAGTACATGGCTCAGCCCTTTCTTCCTTATCCCCTTTTGGGTCTACCCTGGATGCCAAGAGCACATGTTCTGTTCTGCTTCTCCAAGCCATAAATTATGGGATTTAGACCCTGTCCTATAGAGGTAGGTTGATGGCTTCCCAGCCTTGCTGTGATAGGTAAGTGTGTCTAGTTACAGGGTTCAGTAGCAGGAAGTACAGTGTTGCCTCACACCTAAACCACCCCAAATATGTTCTTTATTATTAATAAAGGTGATACTATGCCTGYCTCTTCCAAACTCAATTGCTTTGGAATCTGGTTGAAGGATAGAAGGTTGATAGGTTAGGCATGTGAACAGGTGTCATTTATAAGACCTAAGATATARAAAGTTTAGTGTGTGTTAAGCATCGTACATACATTATGTTATTTAAAGCTTTTAATAGTCTTAGGGGATAGGCAAGATTATTTCTCCCATTTTACAGGTGATCCAAGGCTCAGAAATAGCCTAATAGAGCTATTCTATTAGGATTGATCCCAGGCAGTTTGACTCTGGAATCTATGCTCTCAGCAATCACATCATATTATACTTTCCAAAGTAGATCATCCTAAATTCATTCTGACTACCTCAAAAAACCGTTTTTATTTTCACATTTACCTTTTGCTTTAGTGAGGGGTAAACTCCTCATTTCATTCCTCTCTTGACCTCAACTCTATGTAAATGCCAGCCTGGACAACCAGTAATCCTCCTTTTGATTTCTGCCTTAAATTCTACTCTTGCAACACTAATTGCCACAGTCTGGCTGCAGCAAAATTACCGGGGGGGTGAGTGATGAGGAACTTGTGAAGGTTGATACAACAGGAGTGGGAGCCCTTTATTGTAGGACAGTAGGGGTATATATATACATAACTAATTACACACAGCTTATCTTAATTAACATAAACTAGATATAGCAGTCAACCAATAAGGAATCATCATCTTGATTACACACAGCTTAACTTAATTGACATAATCTAGACACAGCAGTCAGTCATTAAGGAATCTCTATCATCTTAATGGCTCGCTGGTATTACTTCTCAAACCACTCCCTCTGGCAAAATGCCAGGCGCCATCTTGACTTGTTTATGGACCCTAACAACTAATATTCACTGAAGATAAGAGATTGGGGTGGGGGGGGAAGGCTGCATCTGGCTTATAGATTTGTTTTATCTGGCCTGCAGCTTTGTCTTTTTTTTTTTCCAACTTTCAAGTGCAATTTATCATGAAACAAATGGATTTGAACCTAAAAAGATCTTCTGTAGAGAATTTCCATCTTAGTCCAATTTGGGTTGCTGTAACAAAATATCTTAGAATGGATAATTTATAAACAAAATAATTTTATTGCTCAAAGTTYTGGAGTCTGAGAAGTCCAAGATCAAAGCTCTTGCAGATTCAACATCTGGTGAGTGCTGCTCTCTGCCTACAGGTGGTTTGTTCTTGCTTGTCCTCTCATGGTAGAAGAGACAAACAGGCTCCCTCCARCCTCATCATAAGGGCGCCAAGTCCATTCAAGGCAGCAGAGCCCTCATGGTCTAGTCACTTCCTAAGTCACTCCCCACCACCTTAATACTATTGCACTGGGGATTAGGGGCCAACATATAAATTTTGAGGGAACACCAACATTCAGACAATAGCAACTTCCAAGTTTTTAAGTAAAAATATCTAAAATAAATTTCATATATTATGTTTAAGTTCTGTGTACTCATATCTTTTTATTAATTACTTTATTTGTGCATTATAATCCTACATAATAATGTGACTCATTGTAACATCCATACATGCACATAATATAATTAGGTCAGTTTCACTCCCCAGTGCTTCCCCTTCCCCTCCCGGGCTCCATGTCCTCTACTGTACTATATGTACACTTATATCTCAAAGTAAATTGTTTTCTACATTTTTTATTGTGATAAAAATATACATAGTTTCTTTTATTTCTTATAATTAATTCCTTKTACCCCTTTTTAAGTATGCCATTCAATGTCATTAAGTAGAGTCACAATATTATGTAGCCATCACCTATGTCCATTTCCAGAACTTTATCTTCCTCCTAAAAAGAAACCCTGTACCTGTTAAACAGTAATGCCCCTCTTCCTCCATCTGACAGTTGTTGACAACTCCATTCTACTTTTTGTCTCCAGTGCTTCAATATTTGTCTTTTTGTGAATGGCTTATTTCAATGAGCATAAGATTTTCAAGGTTCATCCATATTGCAGCATGTGTCAAAACTTCCTTCTGTTTTAAAACTAATATTCTGTTATGTGTATGTATCACATTTATTCATCCATGAATTCATTGATGGACACTTGGTTCGTTTCCACTTTGGGGCCATTGAAAATAATGCTGCTATGAACATCAGTATATACATATATGTTTGCTTTTTGGTTTTGTTTTGAGACCAAAATTTGCAAATTGATAGATTTCATATAMTAATCAAGATTTCTGAGTTTATTGAAAAATTAAAAGATGAAGCACTACTGAACCCACCATCCTTAATGGCAACAAGAGCTAGAGCTGAGGAATGTCAGTCCCATCATCCCTGCTGCTCCCTGTTACTTCCCAGCACTGAAGTTTTATGTTAGTTGCCACTTAGCATCATATTTGCATTTTTATTTTTCTTATGGAAGAGAAATTTTTTCTTCTACCCAACCCATTTCAATGATGTATATCATCTCTCTGACCACTGGATACAGATTAATACCTCTACATGTAGGTCAATGGCAGTTATGATGACATGAAAATATATTTATGCTATATTAATTGACAAATGAAAAACTGAACAATCTGTATAGGACAAGGAGATAAATAGGAAGATGCTAGAAAATGTCTATTAAAAAATCACAACCTGGATGCATTGGTGCATGCCTGTAATCCCAGCTGCTTGAGAGGCTTAGGTAGGATCGTGATTTCAAAGCCAGCCTCAGCAAAAGTATGGCACTAAGCAACTCAGTGAGACCCTGTCTCTAAATAAAATACAAATTAGGGCTGGGAATGTGGCTCAGTGGCCAAGTGCCCCTGAGTTCAATCCCTAGTATCCCCAAAAAAATCACCAGAAAAAATAGTAGTATCTTGGGACTTTTTTCACTTTTTTATACCTTTTTTGTATTACATAAATTTTATTTGGCAAATATATATTACCTGGAAAAATTAATTAGATTTTAAAGTCTGTGCTACATTGTCTTTCTGCAATAAGCTTCTGATGATTTTATTTTATGAACTAGAAACTTTATGATTTTGAGTGGTTTTGTTTTCTAAATAAAAAGTCAGAAGATATGAATTAAGAAAATGTTGATTATACATATTAGGACACTGGGCCTGACCTGTGAGAATCAGAAATTGAGACTGCCATATCAGAGATTAAATTAAAATATAACAGAAAAAAAGTGACCCAGAAAAAGACAGTGTGTCAAAGGTCCATGAGGGCAAGGACTGTTTTATTTTCACCTCTCTGCACTACTACAGCCTACTGGACTGAAAATAGCAGGGAAAGATGACAATAAGATAATTGCTATATTAATTGACAAATTAATTTACTTGCTATATTAATTAACATAGCAAAAAATGTATTGATATAGCAATTGCTCTATTAATTGAAAATGTCTGTTGTTAATAAAAGAACTAGTGAAAGGAAACAATCAAGAGCATGAAAAGAGGGCCTACAGAATGGGAGAAAATCTTTGCCACCTGCATCTCAGATAGAACATTAATCTCCAAGATATGTAAAGAACTCAAAACTTACCACACACACAAAAAAATCATCATCATCATTATCATCATCATCATCATCATCATCATCATTATCATCCAGTCAATAAATGAGCAAAGAAATTGAACAGGCATTTCACGAAGAAATGTGATTGATCAACAAACATATGAAAAAATGTTCAACATCTCTAGCAATTAGAGAAATGCAAATTAACACTACACTGAGTTTCTATCTCATTCCAGTCATAATGGAATGAATACAAAAATACAAGCAACAATAAATGTTGGCAAGGATGTGGGGGAAAAGGGTACATTCATACATTGTTGATGGGACAGCAAATTGTTACAACCACTCTCAAAAGCAGTATGGAGATTCCTCAGAAAACTTGGGATGGAACCACCATTTGACCCAGCAATACCACTCGTCAGCTTACACCCAAAGGACTTAAAATCAGCATAATATATTGATGCAGCSACATCAATATTCAGAGTAGCTCAATTCACAATAGCTAAGCTGTGGAACCAACCTAGGTGCTCTTCAACAGATGAATGGATAAAGAAAATGTGGTACATACATACAATAGAATATTACTCAGCCATAAATAAGAATGAAATTATGGCATTTGCTGGTAAATGAATGGAACTGGAGGCTATGGTGCTAAGTGGAAAAAGTCAACCCCAAAAAACCAAAGGACAACTGTTCTCTCTTATGTGTGGTTGCTAACACACAACAAGACTTCCTTATGTTCACATTTGAATGCACAACCAGTTAAACTCCACATCATGTACAACCACAAGAACAGGATCCTAATTAGAATAAGTTATATTCCATGTATATATAATATGTCAAAATACACTCTACTGTCATATATATCTAAAAAGAACATAAAAATAAAATAAAACCACAAAAAAAATAGTAGAGCTAAAAAAAAAGACAGAGAGAGAGAGAGCTAGTGAAATTGAATTCAACAAGGGGCTGCGGTTGTGACTCAGTGGTAGAGGACTTGTCTAGCCCGTGTAAGGCACTGGGTCTGATCCTCAGCACCACATTAAAAATAAATAAATGAAGGTATTGTGTCATTCTACAACTAAAAAATTTTTTTAAAAAGAAAAGAAATWTAATTCAACAAAATTCCATTTTTTTCTCTCTCTTTTCTTGTTCATACCTTGGAAAAAAGGAAGGAAGGAAGGGAGGGAGAAAGGAAGGAGGGAGGGAGGGGAAGATAGAGAAAGAAAGATAGATAGATAGTGGGCGGGAGGAAGAAAGAAAGAAATCCAGGCAAGGAAGAAAAGTCCTCGGGGTTAGAAATTACAACCTTGGAGGGCTAGGGAAGTAGCTCAGTCGTAGAGCCCTTGCCTTGTATACGTGAGGCCCTGSGTCTCATTCCCAGCACTGTAAAAACAAAACAAAACAAAAACTACACAGTAGAAAAATGTAATGAATGCTTGATGSATCAGGAGGAGCTTGTAGCATGGCGGTGACAAAGGATAATGCTCATATTTGGAAACCTGGATTCTCAGCAATGATGGTGTCATGGGACCACACATAATCATTTGTGTCACTCACCTGAGTCTCATTAATTGGATTTACTGAGTCTGGGTCTAAATCTGTCTCACTCTGCTACTGGATCCCAGATAGTTTATATGCTGCCAATTTTTATTTCTTAAATTATTTGTCACATTTAATTAAAATTTAAATTTAATTTTGGTTTTCCAAAAGGTCACAGAAGAAAATTCTATGTAGTTATTAAATGTATTATTTTAAACCTAAAATTGCCAATATCAGACAGTTTTACACTTACAAAAATGGCAATTTCCTGTGGCTCAACCCAGTATATCTACACAGACCCAAAGACACATACAGTTTCAACTTTGTTTTACCTAATGGAGATCTGAACATACTCAGAAAGAACATAGTTTATGGTCATTCTGTATAAAAATMGCACACAAATAGTTTATACATCAAACAGTTTTGAAATTTTCAATGAATTCCAATAAGCTCTGAGCTTCTGTTTACTATAAAGATGCTGTTTCCAAAATATTTTAGTTCACCTAGAGTTCTTTTCAGTTCTTTTGTTCTATTTGCTTAAGCTTACCAAGATTGTGCTATTTGTCTTCATTTCATTAATGGCAGAATTACTACTCTTCCAGATGAGTAATCCTGGATCTTCACACCCCAGCACCATGGAGTCTTTTTGGCTCTAAACATAGACAGCAGAGCGGAAGAAAAGTAGGAAAGGTCTCTTTTTGTAGAATCAGGGAGAACAATTGCACCTTTACATCAAAACAAGATCTTCTTCTGAGTGTAGAAGGGACAGAGGCTCAAGGTGGYCCTGGAATCAGGAAGGACCACATGAGGGTCAGGAGCATGGTGGCAATTTTTCCATCAGATAAAGACCCTTTCTCATTCAGCCTTCCCAACATGAGGAATACCAGATAACTCTCAATGAAAAGCCAAGTCATGAACACTTCTTATTTTTATTTTATTTGACCATGGGGAGTATATCCCTGGGTGATTTTTTAATTTACCTTTTCTTCCATGTCTTCTCTTTCAGATAAAAATTCTTAGACCAGAACATTTAACCAGTGCAGTGAGAACATTTGTAACTGAAAAAATGGGAAGTGAATTTCTTCACGGAGCTGGAATTAATTTGAAAGAATCATATGAAGAATCCACTGCCAAAACTCCATTGATCTTTATTCACTCCAATGGTAAGCTCTTCCTGGAAAGTGAAGGTTATGATAACAGTATGAGTCATCAGATATGAAGAAGTAGGTTCAATGTCAGGTTACACTCTTCTTAAAATAGTTTCCTACTATTTAAACATTTTGGAAAAGGGATTGGTTTAAACTGTATCAAGATTTAATCTTTCCACCTATAGTCCCTGGGGCTCCATAGACTGAGGCAGGAGGATCTCAAGTTCAAAGCCAGCCTCAGCATCAGTGAGGAACTAAGCAACTCAGTGAGACCCTATCTCTAAATAAAATACAAAATAGGACTGGGGATGTGGCTTAGTGGTCAAGTGCCCTTGAGTTTTAATCTCAGATAAAAAAAAAAGAATCTTTTTTAAAAAGTATAAAAGAACAAAGAAGAATAAAACTTCCAGTAGATGCTGATCCATAATGGGGAGCAGGGGCAWGGAAGAATGGAAGAACTTTGAATTGGACAGAGGGGAGTGAGGGGAGGGGAGGGAGTATGGGAGTTGGAAAGATGATGGAATGAGGCCCTAGGTGCATGTATGATTGCACTAATAGTGTGACTCACATYGTGTACAACCAGAGAGATGAAAAGTTGTGCTCCATTTGTGTACAAGAAATCAAAATGCATTCTGCTATCATGTATAGCTAATTAGTACAAATAAAAAAAACTTCCTGGACACACAAACATGGAAAAAATCTACTAGTGCTAATTTTCTGTGCAGAAAATACCTTCCAAACACAGAGTATTGATCCAAAAGCTGGGATTACCCTTATGTTTATTAACTGTTTTAATTAACATTGACTTGTACAGAATATATATTGTGAAATAATCTACCAGAATTGGCCCTTTATTACTCAAAACTATATAAATCCTAAGTATTTTCTTCTAAGCAAAATACTTTATCTTCTCATCTTCATAGTCTCCCAGTGAAATGTGTCTTTAGAATTCAACATTTTCAAACTTTYCTTAGGCAAACACTAGAATGTCTCCCTCTGCAGGCTTTCTAACGGGGAGCCTGGAATGTTTCCACATAAAGCACCTAGCTTTATACCACACACTCTCGGAAACTTTGCTGTCTATTTCTTTTTTTTTTTTTAATCCTAATTGGCTTCATTTTTAATTTTAAAATCAGGTAATACTTCATTCCATAAAACAGAATCAGTTTTCCTATGAKCCAAGCACTCATCAAAAATAATTTGATGATTTAACATTAGATTATTTATATTTCTTACACAAAATAAGGACAAAGGAACTTCACTATTTCACCAGTTGAGAATGGCAGTTCTCTCTCCAATCCAGATTTCTCTTGGAGGACCACATGTGTCAGCTTGGTTTGATTAACTCCATGTTGTTGTCCCCCACCCCACCCCCGGAATATTGTCTCTGTTGAAAAACTGGCTTCACAAAGAAGGTGGCAGCAGGAAAATTTCAGAATCCAAATCTTAAAAATAAGTCTTGGGCAGTGGGGGGTTATTTTCTGTCTCTGG